TATTCATGGAAAATCAAGACCTCTGAAGGGACTCGAATTGGATATAAAGCGTGTCCAGCCGAGCTGGCTGTCATGCTTGGTGTGGAAACAGTTACACTGATGCTTTCTTCCCTTTATAGGTGGCCATCATTTTCTTGATTTCAGCAATAGCTTTACCTGGATTCAGCCCCTTGGGGCAGGTCCTGATGCAGTTCATGATGGTGTGGCAGCAGTAGAGGGAGAAGGGGTCCTGCAGCTTGGCCAGGCGCTCCTCTGTGAAGTCGTCTCTAGAGTCGATCATCCAGCGGTAGGCCTGGGGAGCCGGGGGGCTGATGAGCCGTGCTGGCAACATAACAAAGCCCCAGCGGAGCAGCAGAAAGGGAGTCCCTCAGCTTAGAGGCCTGTCTCTGCTCTGTAGTTCTTGCCACCTTTCAAGGAGAGGGCCCTCCTCTAGAACTCCTCTCAACTAACGCCCCCCCACCCCCTGCCCCGGAGCGTACCGCACCTGGTACCCTGGTGCTTCATTACACGTAATTAGGTATCGTTTCGTTATCTCAAGGTGCTCAGTGGCTTCCTGCCCAGATTATGAGTGAGGGAAGGCAGGGACCGTATCACACGACTCTGTCCTCAGAGCACCGACCCACGGTCTCCCAGTAGACTGATGACTTAGGAGATATGTCCGGACATAGTATGTTCCACGGATGGACTCTTGGTCAGCCTGCCCTGGAGCCTGGTGCAAGCCGGCTGAAGGCAGCTGACCGCCTGAGCACCAGCTGCTCGCAGTGAAGTGGAGTGGGCTCCATGCCCCACCAAGTCAGCGTGGGGGCAGAGGCCAACTGTGAATGCGCCTCATCATTTGATCTTGCATGTGGATGGAAATCAATACTGCTAAGTGCTCACACAGCACGTAACTTCCCTTTTTGTGGGATGATGAGAAATGAGAACTTGTTTTTTGAAATTGGGAATCTGTGAAAAGCACTGACCACAGATTTAAAAAGTACAGCTTTCTGGGAACAAAGGCAGTTTCTCTGCAGTGGACTATACACATACGGTGACGGGCCCTGAAAGGCAGTGCTGTCTTCTTGCCAAGTAACCCTTAAACCCAGGACTCCAGGCTTTCATTAGCCTGGAAACCAGTTCCAGCCTTAGAGCTGGGAAGCTGCCCCTTGACGAAATTTCTCTCCCCTGCTTGCAGGTCAGAAATCCCCGTGCGAGGGAGCTGGGCGGCCACCCGACAGTTGCGGTCTGGGGAGAGTGGGCAAGTGGGTAGGCAAGAGCCAGCTGCACCTGGGATACGTTTTAAACACCTGCAAGGCCTATTTTGCCAAAAAGCACGCGAGGGGTGGCCCTCACCACACAGAAATGAGATATTTTGCAGATGAAGATTTACTGAAAGCCAAGTGAGCACAATGCAGCCAACTGCCCTGTTTGTAATGGATGCCCTTTGGAACATCTGGTTTCCAACAATATACTGTCCTCTCGGACTTCATTTTTTTTTAAAAGAAGATGTATATATTTATTTATTTGAGGGAGGTGGGGAGGGGCAGAGGGAGGGGGAGAGAAGCAGGCTCCACACTGAGTGTGGAACCCGACACAGGGCTGGCTCTCGGGACCCTGAGACCACCTGAGCCGAAACCAAGTGTCAGCCACTCAGTGGACTGCGCCAGCCAGGTGCCCCTGGATGCCTCGGTTTAAAGCTTTTCGGGCAGTGAGGGAGCACCTTACCTGCATAAGAACCGCAGGCCCCAGGTACTTGTCTCCATTCCACCAGTAGCTAGGGCAGCTGGTGCTGCAGCACGCACAGAGGATGCACTCGTACAGCCCGTCCTGTGCGGAGGGGAAGGACGGTTACATCTCCAGCTGACTGAACATGTTGTCTGGGCTCAGTGCACGAACAAAGTGCCTACTTGCATGTGAGTTTTCTTGGCAAAGTCTTAGGGGCGGCTTGCAGAGATTTATCAGATTCATAAAAAAGGTCTTGGAATCGAAATGTATGTGTTTGCTGGGTTAGAATCCAGAGTTCTTAAGTCCAAGCACTTCTCCTCTAATAGACAATAACCTCTCAGTTATCTAAAACAAAAACAAAAACAAAACCAAAAAACCCTACAAAAAACCAACCAACCCACCCCAAACACCTTACTGCCTAGAATGCACTCTAGGAGAAATGAGGAAGGACCTGCATGCTGGGGCATCCAGGAGTCTACCCCAGCCTCTGCCCGGGCTGGCAACGGGGACATGATTCTAAATAAGCCCCATGCCGTACTCACTTTCCCTCATTTGATCATTACAACAATCCTATGGCATGAGGACTACTAGCGTCGCAGAGAGGTCAGGTCATTGGTCCAGGGTCACACAGCTGCAAGTAGCCACGGCTGGGATGGGACCCCAGGCAGTCCGACTCTGGAATGCCCGCCTGCACTTGAACCCTGCCCTGCTGACTCAATCTGTCCCCCCAGTTCTAACAAACTGGACTTTCTGATTTTGCGAAAAACAGAAACGGTTAAAAGCAGCAAGACAGAAGGGCACACTGACAGCTGACTGTAACAGATGACAGAATTGACAGTCATGATTCTAACAGTGAGTCTTCAAGAAAATCTATGTTCGGTTCAGAGAGCAGATGGGAGTGCAAACTGCCTCATGGGTCTAGAAAGCATAGGGTGATGGTCATATTCTTTGATCCACTTATAGAAAAACCTATTAACAAGAAAAGGAACTCAAATTTTTGGCTAGAACTTTAAACATAAAGATGTTTAACCAGCCTTATTTGTAACACTGAGCAACTGGAAATAATTTCATTGGTCCAACAGTAGGTGGAATGGTTAAATAATACACAGTGCATTCAACTCAGGTAGCAGAAAGCGACGTCTAAGCAAATACTTATGAAGAATTCTTTTTTTTTTTTCTTATGAAGAATTCTTAAGAACATGGGAAAATGGGGCGCCTGGGTGACTCAGTTGTTAAGCGTCTGCCTTCAGCTCAGGTCATGATCCCAGGGTCCTGGGATCGAGACCTGCATCGGGCTCCCTGCTCGGCGGGAAGCCTGCTTCTCCCTCTCCCACCCCCCCTGCTTGTGTTCCCTCTCTCACTGTGTCTCTGTCAAATAAATAAAATCTTAAAAAAAAAAAAAATGGGAAAATGCGCACAATAACATAAGTGAAGGCGGGATACAAAAGCATATTTACATTTTGATCCCAGCTACATAAAAATGTAATGTAGCACATAAAAGAAAAAAACAAAAGTAGCTGTCAATGGACATTATCCTTGGGTGCTGGAATATTACAGATTATTTATATTTAAAAATAGTTATCTGTATTTTCCAATTACCCACAGTGAGCATGCCTTTTAAAACTGTGAGAAAAAGTTATGTTCAGTGTATTTTTTTAAATGTTTTATTTATTCATGAGAGTCAGAGAGAGAGAGAGAGAGAGGCAGAAGCAGGCTCCCCATTGAGCAGGGAGCCTGATGTGGGACTCGATCCCAGGACCCTGGGATCATGACCTGAGCCAAATGCAGACGCTTAACCATCTGAGCCACCCAGGTGCCCCTCAGAGTATTAATTTAAGGAAGTGAAAAATGCTTAACAAATTTTTGGTATTTTATTTAAATGTGTAAACTTGGCTATCTAGATAACACACTCCGGGGGCCCTTCATGCCCTCCTGCTAGTGCATCAAGGAGGTAGTTCCTAGCTGGGGGCCTGCCTAAGGGAGGGATGCAGGAGGGTGAGATGGCCAGAGAGACCGGAAACCAGGTCCAATCAGGAACCCCCCCCCCCCCGGCCCCAGTCAGGAATGCGGGGCAGGGGCAGAGCCTTGTCCAGAGAACAAGAACTCCTGACCCGGGAGAGAGCTGTCTGCACTGAATTACATCACTCCGCGGAGAGCGCTGGGTATTCACATGAGGACTCTCCTTAAAGTTCTACAGAAGAGGAGAGGGCCTCAACGTTCTCCAAGACTTCTAAAAGGTACAGTGCATTTACTCAGCCACGTGCCTAATACATACTGATTAATAACCAGCACCAGGGCCTCGGGATTCAGAAAGGAGTAAGACTCGGCCGCCGTCCTGGACGTGTGCTCAGCCTGCTCGAGAGGCGCTGGTCAGGGATGCTCTTTGGGCAAGTGCCGAATCGGAGGACCGCGTGACGTGCCGACTGTGACACAGCACACGTCCTTGGTCCCGTGCAGACATGTGTCAGGACCCAGCTGCTGGGTCCCTTTCCCACCGTCCCTCTCCACAAGGACACTGAATATGCAGGGAGTGCAGGTGTCAATCAGAGGCTTCTCAGGGGGAAGAGTGCCAGAGAAGGAGACTGAAAACTTGAAAATGACCCCTTCACTGTAAGATGTCACAGCCTGGACACTGGAACGCCAAGAGAGTGACAGGGCCATCACCGCACCCCCCCCCCAGCAGTCCCCGGACACTCGACGTTAGGAAAGAACGGCAAGGTTCCAGTCCCCTTTTGGCTGCCACCTGTAACACGGGGGGAGCATGACTGCCAGGGGCCGGCACGTGTCTGACGTGCCCACACCGTTAAAGAGCAGCTTTGACAGAGCTGTCACCTTGGCAAGACTCGATCATCTGCATACCGGTTTCCTCTGAAACATTCTGCAACATGGTAATCATCTGCCCTTCCAGGCAGGGCAGATATGCTCTGGATCCTTGGTGCACTGTGGGCCCCTTGTGGGATCACACTACCCCCTGGCCCTGAGAGGATGGGTGCCCAGCCCTGCGACAGATGCTCTTGCAGTTCCTTTCCAGAATACGCTCCATAATGGTCTGCAGCGTCCGATGCTGCTACCCCACCCCATCTCCTCACGCCGCGCTTCCCGGCAAGCATCTTTGCAACAAAATTCCTCAAAGCAAGACAATAAATGGGGACTAATGACCAGTTTCTCACGATCTTCTATGGACTGCAGATACTGCTGCTTGCCCTCCTGGGATTCATCCTTCTTCTTCAGATAAGGTTCAATGGATTTGTACTGAGCGTAGAAGTTGCTCAAGTCCTGAGGTTAAGAGGAAGAAGAAGAAAAGAAGGATCAGATTCCACCATCGCTCCCTAGCTTTCTTATTCACCCCATTTCTTGGACACTACCCACTTCCCCATCCCACACCAGCAGAAGTCTGACTCTCTTCCCTCAGCGTTGATCCAGCAAGGATGACAGAAAGAGAAACGGTCAGAGTGTTAATCGCGGCTGGGAAATCTCTCCTTCACCCACTTGGGTAACCCTCCAATCCCGCAGCCATGTCAGTGAAGGTGCTAAGACACGGGGAGGCAGAGATTAAAGTACAATGTGTAACAACTGTTGCCTTCCCCACCGGTCTTTTCCACATGAATTCTTTGTAGTTATGGCCAAATTCTTGATTCTGGGGCTGTTCCAACTCTAAAATCCGATGCCCTGTTATTCCCAAACAATCCTCCCCAATGAGCGGCTGGAGAATCTTCTAGGCATGTTTATCTTCCACCATTCAAATTCCTTAATTAAACCCAGGAAAAAAGCCTGCCCTAGAGAATAACATATATCTCCCTCACACACACACCTCTTCCTTTCTCCCTGGAAGATAAAAAAAGGGGGTGGGGAGAGTGGCAGAGAGAAGGGGATGGGAGAGGGTGGGGAGGCAGAAACTCACGGGAACAAGATCCTTTATCACATACATATGCGGAAGAGGGTAGATTTTTGAGACTTTGGTGAGGTTGGTGTCGATCCTTCGGGTGCAGGCCAGAGTGTTGCCTCCGTTGATGTTCATGGCACAAGAGCCACAGATGCCTGAGAGAGAACATATTTAACACTTCCTCACCCAGGTTCTGGCAGTCCAGCTTCAAACTCTTTTTCTAGAATGTCATTCCCCTACCATCAGGAGCAGCACCGACATGGAATACACCTGTGGCAGAGGTGCCCCGTTGCGGTTTTCCTTCTCCTCCGTCTTCCTGCCTGGAAGGTAGATCTAATGACTGTAGTTCCAAATGCCATTTTGTGACCGTGAGGCAACAGGGGTTGGAATCTACACGCTACAGTCGGTGCTGGAGACAGAAGGGGCCTAGGGCACTGTGGGCATCATGGAGTTCCCACACTGGTCCTAGCGCCATGCTTCATGCATTTTCAGAAGTAAATTAGCACCCCAACCCCCAACCCTTTTCAAAAAAGATTTTATTTATTTATCTGACAGAGAGAGACATAGCGAGAGAGGGAACACAAGCAGAGGGGAGTGGGAGAGGGAGAAGCAGGCTTCCCGCGGAGCAGGGAGCCCGATGTGGGGCTCAATCCCAGGACCTTGAGATCATGACCTGAGCCGAAGGCAGTCACTCAACGACTGAGCCACCCAGGCGCCCCATCCCCAACCCTTTTTTAAAAAGCCCCTGTTATTTGAAATCAAACTGTGACAGACAGAGCCCAAAAGCAAATCAACACTGTGCTGGTCATCTTCCAGCTGAGGCCTGGACATGGATTATCCACATAGAACTCTTAACTCTGTTGTCTTCACTACAACTAGCAGCACAGTGGTTGCCCCTGG